CTGCCTCTCACTCACCGCTTGACCTTGAGCTCGTTACTTCTCTTGCTGGTGCCTTGACCACCTCACCTCCACAAAGGGGAGAGGGCTGGCGGGCATGGGAGATGAGGGTGGAAGGGTTGGAAGAGGCCAGAGGGAGGGTCTGGCTCAAGAGTTTGGACTTTATGCTATAAAAATGGAGGCAGGAGACTCAATTTGCTTGGGAGTCACTGTGTGACTTGGGCAAGTAAGAGCTCCACTTGGGGCTGCTTTCCTCATCTGATACTTCTAAGCCCCTGCCAGGGTAGAAGCATGGTATGTGGAGTCCCCCATTTAGCCGTCAGCATGACCCCCAGTTGGCAGCAAAGGGAACTGACGGTCAAAGAAGTCATGTCATTTGCTCACAAAAGCCTCACAAGAAAGAAATGTTAGAGCCAGGGGTGGATGGAGTCTGAGCAGCTCCTCTTTTCCTCTGGACTCAGCATTGAGGCGGAGCTTGGTCAGCAGGAAGAATGAACTAGATACTAATGTCCTGGAACTAGAACTAGGTACTAACTAGAACTAATGTCCCAGGGAAATGGAGGCTGGAAGTCAAACCCCTTGATCCTCGAGGGATAGGGAACAACTAACAATAATAACAATAATAGCTCTTTCTTGCTAAGTTCTTCTCATACGCACTCCCATTTAATCCTTCCCAGAGCCACTTGATGTAGGCAATTTAGGGCTCCGTCACAGTGAGATTCTACTCTGTGCCAAGTGCTGGGGTTCTACCCTCATGGAGCTCCTGATCTTGTGGGGCAGATATTAACCAAACGTACAGGGCAGCCAGAACAAGGTTCTGCAAGTGCTCATAGCAGAGTCAAACCTCCACTGGGAGACTGGAGGAGGGTTCTCTGAGGAGTGGTTACTTCCAAGCTGAGGTCTAAAGGATGAGTTGTTAACTAGGCAGAGAGAGGAGGGAAGAATAATATTTCAGGTGTAGGCATCGGCCTGTGCAGAAGTCATGTGGCAGCATGGAAGGAAGGTTTGAGGAACCAAGTAATGAGCAGGGCTGGAATGCAGATTGCCAGGGGAGGGTAGAGGGGTAAGAGGTTGGCAGGGACCACCCCGTGGAGAACATTCTAGTCTTTCTCATAAGAGCAATCAGAAGCCTTGAAATAAGTTTTAAGCTGGAGGGTACTGTGAACGCACGCATGCTTTTACACACGCACACTATTGCTGTTAAGTGTGAACAGAGGGTAGAATCTGAGAGACGTTAGGCAGCCACTCTCATTGTCCAAGGAAGTTGCTCGACCTACAGTGGAGAGTGATGAAGATGAAATGAAGGGCACAGTTTGGGGGTATATTTCTAAAGTGGAATCATGATGAATTCAGGGGGACCAGTTAGCAATCACCTGTGAGAGAGATGGTGAAGCTTGAGCCGGGACACTCGTGTGGTTGACCTCCTACCACAGCAAGTAAGGAGAAGACTTGGGACTTGAACGTGGTCTATGTGACTCCACAGGTGGAACCCTTTGACAGGGGGGCAAGGGAGGGGTGTGGGGCACAGCCCGAAGGGGGACTGAATAAAATCAACTTACCCTCACAGACCTCCCTGTGCCAGGACCCCAAGCAGATGAAGCAGAAAGGAAACCATTGCAGTGGCCCATTTGGGAGCCCCTGGCCACCAGCTGGTTCCTACAAGGACCTTTCTAGTCAACAACTTCACCCCTCATCAATAAAGACAGAAGCAATGAAGTTGAGGTTCAGCCTCCAAAACCACAGTCCAGATTTTCTGGTCTGTGGTGGTGGGATTGATAAATACAAAGGACTGTAGATATGACAGTGGCCAGTAGATATGGCAGTCGGGGAAGTTGCTGGTTTTATTTTTATTTTTTTGGTGGCTGGCTGGGGTTGTTGGTTTTATTTGCTGATATTTCTCTTCAGATGCAGAAGATTATGTTCATCCTATCCCTCCATTCATGGCTGTCATTACTGGTCTACGCAAAGCCCTTCTCTTTTTAAATTTATTATATTACTCCTTTTTATTACCAATTTCTACTTCCCCTTGCCTGCAATCACTCATCTATTCAATATGTACCTTTCAAATTTTACTTTTATGTACTCTTTTAATATCTGTTCTGTCATTTTGCGAGGGGGGGGTGGCACAACATATCATTGTGTTTCTTTTTTTCCCACTCAGTACACCTTTTTAAAATTAATTAATTAATTGGCGGGGATGGCCAGTACAAGGATCAGACCCTGGACCTTGACGTTCTCAGCAAGCACAATGTTTTGAAGATGTACCCATTTTGCTCCAGTTCATTGCCTCCAACTTCTGGTAGTATTCAGTGGTGTTAGGATCATAATGATTGAATTTTTAAAAACAATTTTTATACAAATAGATAACAAGCATTGGTCGATGTTTTATTTAGCTTGTTTATGACAAACCAGCAGAATGTCAGAGTGCATCTGGAACAGGATTTGAAGAACCAGGATTGTGTGGTCAGTTAGGGAAAAAATGCTGAAGCAATCTTATGTGTTAAAACTGGTCAATGTTCTGCAGTGCAGTAAAACCTTAACCTTTGGAATTATTTTCTCTACCAGTCAGAATAAAAATAGTTATCACAACTAACCAGTTTTGTATGAGTTTAGGAGTGGTAAATCACATGCTCTCCAAACTACTGTCAATCAAAGTTTCATTTTCCAAGACTCAGATGACTCAGATGACCTTCAGGCAGGACTTTTTTGGAAACACTCTATCAAGCATGATTTTATAAGATTGCATAATTAACATTTTGCCTATTTTAAAGTTTTTGAACAACCTTTTCTGAATAATGTGCATGTACCTCCTCTTTCCCCTACTCCCAGTGATAGAGGTCTATGTTGCTCCGATTCTTTGCCATTCCAAGCAACCCTTTGATAAACTCTCATGCACGTTTCTATGCATGTGCATGAGAGTCTGTCTGGTTGGGGTGAGGAATGGGCTCACTAGCTCATGAGATATGCTCGTGTATTTTGATAAAGTACTGTTGGATTATTTTGTCTGAACCCGCACCAGCAGGCATCCCAAAGCTTCCTGTTGCCCATGTGGACAATATTTGTTTTAGCCTTCCAGAATCTCCTCTGTTTGGGAGAAGAACCCTTCCCCGCCAAACCCCATTGTGGAGAAAGGCATGGCCCATTATCAGTGTAGGGCCAAAGCTCCCCTGGCCTATAGGGGGAGGGTACACGTGTATCACGGGAAACAGTTAAATCTCCATCTGTCTGATGTCTTCATCATATTCCAAGTTGTTTCCAAGGGTGTTTTTCTCAGCCTCCTCCAACCCTACCAAGTCCAAGGCTCATCCAGGACTTTGCAACTTGAGTGACACAAAGACAAAGAGGGCAGAATAGCTTGGTTGACCGTCCCTCCAATGCTGGACAGTGCGTGTGTGTGTGTGTGATCTCCAAAAGGAAATAAGAGGTTCTGAGCCTGAACAGCCCAAATCGGCATTTGTGCTGGAAAGAGTGTAGTAAACACTATCACCTCCAACCAAGCACGTGCTGGGGCCCTGAGGCCAGATCCCCCTATGTTCAGATGCATGAACGTGCCTCAGTCTCCTGATCTGTATAACTGGGATGACAATAGTGCTTGCTTCATTGGATTGTTATGATGAAAAAACGAGTTGGTGTATTTAAGCACTAGACACGGTACTCTCTCTGTGTTTGCTATTATCAGAATGTCATCCTCAGACCCCAGCCGAGCCTGACACCCCCTAACCTTCCCCCTTCCTCATGAACCTTCTAGTCCCCTCTTGAAGTCCTACAGCAGATGATGTGGCTCCTGCTACACAGTGCTGCGAACTGGGAGCACTGCAATAAACTGTACTCTTATGCATGCTTACACTGCCCAGGGTGAGCATTTTGTGTATCTTATTCAATTTTCAAAAACAGGCCCCTTCCAAAAGAAGCATGATTAGCCCTGTTTTACCTGGTGGTGCTAAGACTTAGTGGTTTGCCCCAGGTGCCTGTGGCTGTCACTTGTCACCTCTTGAGACTGTCTGGCATCTAAACCCTTTCCTGCCTTGTGAGTCCTGGAAGACAGAGCCAGGCTTTAGCTATGTGCTAGACAGTTCAGTTAGTTGTTTTCTCAGACTCCCTTGAAGCTAGGGCATCTGCCTGTAACCTGGGTTTCATCATTCAGAGGCGCCAGCACTGGACTCTGAGCCAGGAGCTGAAGTGAAGCACATTAACAGTGGCCTTGGAGAACTTGGCTGGCAAAACCCCAGCCATGCTCAGGTGCTGGGGCATAAAAGCCAAGAGAGACCAGGACAAAGCCAGACCCAGAAGGACTGGCCGTATGTTGTTAGGAAGAGTGGTCAACCTGAGCGCTCCTCCACTTCCCAAAGCCAGGTGACTGCCCTTCAGATAGACTTCCTCCTTGGAGAGAAGGAACCAGGGTCTGGGATACAGGACACTGTGCTAAAGTGAGGACAAGGAGAGAGATGGTATCCTGAAAAGGGGGGGTTGGCCAAAGCCTCCACACTTAGCACTGAGTCACCCCATCTCCCCTCCTCAATCAATGGCTGCCAGGCTTGTACCCTACCCCCATCCTGAGATGGGAGGATTCCTCTCTCTGCAAAATGAGCCATCCAAGAGACACACAATGACACTGATTTTTCCAGTGAAATGGAGTGACCTAGCCAAAGTAATACCCTTAGCAACGGAAGTGGGTTTCATTATTCTTATCTATGGATGCTGATGCTGAGAGTGTGACCTGCCTAAAGTTACACAGCCAGGAAATAGCAAGGTTGAGCTGATTTGCTGCTGGGCCTGGTCCGTTCTATCAGCCTCATTCCTGCTTTTGTAGGATGGAGCTGGGGAGAGCCCGGTCCTGGGCCCACTGAGCATTTCCTGCGCTGCTTTCCAGGGCTGAACCACAGGGCCTCCCTCATGCTGGGAGAGTCTTGGGTGGGAACTAAGGAAGCCCACACCAGAACCCCCTGCACCCAGATGCTCAGCCCCAGGAGAACAGCCAGCACAGGACAGAGCCTCAGACTCCGTGTCTACACACCGGGTCAGCAACTTTATTACTCTATGATGCTGGTGAATTGTCTTCTGAGGAGCTTCCCACAAGCAGGTACCTCTGTCCATCTCATGCCTTCTGGTTACAGAGAGGAGAGCAAGATCAAGGAGCCCTGGGTCCAGCTTCTCAGAACATCACCCCCTCCCTTCCACTCTCCCAGCAACCCCCAAATCTGTCCTGGGGAGGGGGCATTCCAGGGACAACATCCAGACCCTTTTCCTTCAGCTTCCTCCATCAAAGGGGGCCCCGCCTGCTGCTCCTTCCCTGAGCTCCTCTTCTCCTGTGCCTCTCAGGGTCCACAGCAGGGAAAGGGTAGGGAGGGATGGAGGACGAAGGAGGATGGGCTGCAGGACAGAGAGAGGAGGAGAAGGGAAGGGAAAGAGGACATTCGAGGAGGCTCCCTTCCCAAGCGGAAGAGATAAGAGGAGGGCAGAGGTGAAACCTGAACAGTAAAGTGAGATTTGGGACAGATGGAGTTGGGAAAGAATAAAGAAGGAAGCACTGGGAAGTTTAGACAAGGGAGGAGAAAGTGGAGGAGAGAAGGAGGTAAGAGGAAGGGGAGATACAGAGGGGGAGAGCAAGTGGTGCTGGGGGAGGGCTGTGGGAGAGGAGGGATGCCGGGTGGGCAGCACCAAGGGCAGCAGGGTGGCAGTGGCTACCCCAAGGGCCAGGGCGGGAAGGGGCCCCCGCCCTCGGGGCCAGGCACGGCCGCCCCCTGTGCGCTGGCAGCCGCGCGGCCGTGGATGCGCTGGTGGCGTAGGACGTGCTCGCGGCGCCCGAAGCCCTTGCCGCACTCCCAGCAGGCAAAGGGTCGCGCGCCTGAGTGGGTCTTGCGGTGGCGCACGAGGTGCTCACGCCAGTAGAAGGTCTTGCCGCACTCGCAGCATGCGTGGGGCTTCTCGCGAGCGGGCAGCGGGCGCAGGGCCGGCCCGGGGGCGCCAGGGTGTGTGCCGCGGTGGCGCCGCAGGTGCTCCTTGCGCCGGAAGGCCTTGCCGCACTCGGGACAGGCGTGCGGCTTCTCGCCCGAGTGACTCTGCCGGTGGCGCAGCAGGTGGGCTGGCTTCAAGGACGTCTTGCCACACTCCGGGCAGGATGTGGCGCCCGGGGCCGCCAGGAAAGTGGGCAGGCTGGGCGCCAGCGGGGCCAGCGGGGGGCTGCCCGGCTCCTGCTTGTAGGGGCGCACGGCCTGGGCGTCCCCTGTCGTCGGCACCTCAGCCCCAGGGGCCGTATCTCCTGCTGGGTAAAGGTACAGCGTCAGCTCGGCCTGAAGGCGGGGCAGGCACAGCGCACAGTCAGAGGCAGGGGCAGGTGGGGGGCGCTTTAAGCCACGGAAGCCTTGGGGCGTAAAGACGGTTGGGCTGAGGGCTTCTTATTCATCCCTGTGTCTGCTGTACCTAGCACAGCGCCTGGCACACAGTCAAGACCAATAAACAGTAGCTGGGTGGATGGATGGGTGGGTGTAAGGGGGGATGGGTGTGCTGTACCTAGCACAGCGCCAGTCAAGACCAATAAACAGTAGCTGGGTGGATGGATGGGTGGGTGTAAGGGGGGATGGGTGGATGGATGAGGAAAAAGAGTGTATAGATAAAAAGATGGGTGGAAGGGTAGATGAATGGATGAATGGCAGGCCAGTGGGTGGATGGACGAGTGGAAGAGGAAAGGAATGAACAAAGAGACGTATGAGAGGGTACAGACTGGATGAACAGCAGGGAGACGGATGGAAGGATGAACAGATGAATGAATGGATGGGGTAAATGGGGTGTGGGAGTAGGTGAGCAGGTGAGCAGCAAGGTAGGCTGATAGGTGAATGGGAGGTGGGTGGGTGACTGAATAATGTAGGAGGGGATGCTTAGGTGCCTGAGTGGGTATCTGGGCAAACAAATGGGGAGGTGGGTACGTGGGGATGAATAAGTTGAGGGGACAGATGAGCCACATACTTCCTTTCTCCAGGTTTTCAATCTGCTCTGTGGAATGCCAGGGACATAAGCAACCAGGGTTTGTTTTGTTTTTTTCTAATCTGTTTTACACTATGAGCTCAGATCGACCCTCTCCTATATAAAGACTGCACTTGGTCTCCCAGCATTCGATTCCACACTGGGTACTAGAATCATCTTTCTGCCTTTGATGGACACCTTTGGTCTTCTGCCTTCTGTGATGTCCCCTTCTTCATCCTGATGTGTCATTTGGATGGAGCTGACTGCTGAGTCCACCCCACCTCCCAGGGTGGGTATGTGTGCTAGGCCTGGCCAGTCAGTGCAGAGCACTGTGCCTCTGGCCACAGCAACTGGGCCAGGAAGAGTACATGACTCCATCAGAGCCAAGGACACATGACTCTGGGATGGTCCTGCGACTGCAGGAGGCTGCCCCTTGTCTGAGTATCTAAGTGCACACCAACAACAAGCACTCATCACTGAGCATGAGTGATCCTGTGTCACTGAGGTCTGACCCCTTCCTAAGTCTGACCCCACTTGCTGTAAACTCCTCAAGGGCAGGGATATGTCTGAGTCACCTTTAGTCCCAGTGTCAGAGTTGTTCACTGAACAAGAGAGTGATAAGCAGGACAATCCCCCATCTCAGCTCAGGCAACAAGGGACCCCTGATCCTGGGAGACAGTGAGAAAAATGTGAGAAAGGGGGTCACTACTTACCTAGGGGAATCATCCCGCTATCACTATCTTCCTTTCCAACACTGACCCCGGAGCCTTCTGCCATATCCCGAGGTGCCCTCATCGCTGACGACCGATCTGGGGAGGTTGCTGGTCCCTGAAATGAGATACCACATTCCGAATTAAGAAACCTGACTGAGAACCTTGATTTCTCTCCCTCTCTCTCCCCACCACCTTCAAGCAGTCATCAGATCCTATCACTTGCTCTGGGGGAAGCTGGCTGTCACGCTGCGGTATACTCAAGCTATCCTATGAAGTGGCCCATGGAGTGAGGAACTAAGGCCACCTGCCAACTACCCTGAAAGGGAGCTGTCTTGGAAGCAGATCCTCCAGCCCCAGGCAAGCCTTCAGATGATGACAGCTCTGGCCAACTTTGTAACTGTGGCCTTATGAGAGACCCTGAGCCACGACCACCCACCTAAGCCACTCCCAAACTCCTGACCCACAGAAACTTCCGAAATAATAAATGTTTATTGTTTTAAGCCCTAAATTTGGAGAGATTTGTTGCGCAGCAACCAATAACTAACACATCTGCTTTAAATCATACTTTAGCTTATCACTCCTCTTTGGATAAAGTGGAGACTCATTAACAAAATGCAGAACATGTAAGCTACTTTTAATTCAGAAAAAAAAATGAAGTAAGTTCAGAAACAGAACTTTTCCCAACTCACACAGCGGACAGCTGCTCAACAGGATGACACCAGCCTAGAAAAAGTTTCAGACCGACTCTGTTTTTGGTTTCTTTACACTAGTGCCATCATTCCTCAAGCCCAAGCCCATGCCCATGCCCATGCCCATGCCCCCAAGGAAAAGAAGATCACAATTCTTCTGGTGCTGATGAATGAGAGTTGACCCATGAGTTGTATACATCAAACCCATTTTCTCACATTTTACTTGTTTCAAATGCTTTTGGACTGTCAGCCAGAGGATTACCCAAGTCATAAAGCAGTCTTTGGGGATCTTAGCAATCCCTGAAATTCTATCATCTGGAGAAAAGATGCAGCAGGATGCATTCCGAGACTTTCTTTAAAGGACGTTGTGTTTGGAT